CACATAGTTACCGTCAGGACTACGAGATCAGAGAAGGACTTGAAGGCACAGAACAAGTTTTCTTCACACCAGCAATTTATCAGCACAACCATCATTCCAAATTCAGCTTCCTCAGCAAGCAACTTGATATCACATCATTTAAAAAAAATCTCTGTTACCATTATTTAGCACTAACAAGCAAATGAATTCGTAAATCAGGAAGCTTCCAAGACAGTTCATCAGCATCTACAGGTGCACTGTCTTGACCAAGAGGTAACTGTGGACAAATCACAAACTCTGCCCCACGTTTTTCCAGCTGTAAATGAAGATGGTGCAGCCAAGCATCATGAATCACTCACTTCTGGAGATAGGATTTAATCAGACAGTATCTTCCTTGTATCCGATCTCACCTGAACACAACTCTTGTCCAGTCAGAGCCACATTTGAATCCCTGGGCACTGAAAAGATAGAATTAGATAATTGAAACTTCATTTATAAAGAAGATTGATCTCCAGATTCCTAATAAACAGCACAGTGAAGGTTCTGGATGGCTCAGAATAAGCTCCAGTACCCCTTCATCACAATTCCTATTTTTCATACACCAATCCCCCAGACACATCTGAAGCAGCCCCTTCCCTTAGGCCAAGCACTTCGAAAGCAATCCACCTCCTTTAGAGAAGCAAACAAAAAGATTTGCCATCACAGATTTTTGCTGTTAGACTGCACAGAAACTTGCTATTCAAGTGAAAAAAAGTAGGTGACTTCTTTCTCCGTGGAGACGCTGAACAAAGGCTAACAATGAGAGCTACCAGCAAGCCTGACTTCCAAAATTCATAGTGTTCTTGTGGGCACACTCACCTGAACGTCTGCTTGACAGCACCAACCCGCAGGTCAATGATCTTCAGCAGATCATCACGGGAACAGGTCAAAAGCTCTGTTCGCTCCGAGTTCAAGTCCAGAGCTGTGATCCTCCCAAGCAGCTCCAGTTCTTTTACTATGCTTTCAGTCCTAGGAAAAGATGGGGAGACAGTAGGGGAAAAAAGAAAAAAAAAAAGACTAAGTAAAGCAGGGTGTGGAAGCCAAACCACTGCATCCAAACTTGTACTTGTCCCATTGTGAAAGAGGAGGAGACAAAGGATTCTGGGCTTATTCTCACATTTTGAGGCTTTCCCCAGCAAGATTCCACTTGGTGGAAAACGCAACCAGCCAACAGTCAGACACTACCTTACTCCCAACCCTATCTTCTGGAAAACTAAATAATGTCTAGAAAGCAAACTAATGACCAGTGCAAAATATTTACAGTGAAACAGGCTGCCTTCTCAGGAAAAAAAAAAAAAAAAAAGCAATCCAAAACCATATATAAATCCCAAGCTCTCCCCTCCTCAACCAACGGTAGTAAAAGCAGTAATAAAAGGCACTTTCACTTTCATCAGCTCTCTGAGACTTGGAACAGTCTCTCCAGCTTCTCCACTAAGGAAGAGAAGCAGCCCAGAGTTCTGAACATACTTGGACAACAATTCTATAATCATCCCTACTGTGTGTAAGCCCTCCCACAAGTTTTACCTGATATCCCAGAAACGGATTTTCTTATCAAAATGTCCACTCATTACACACTGCTCAGTGCATACGATGTCATTGCAGCTAGATCCTGCAAACACTGTTTTTATACCTAAAAAAAGGATAAGCCAGTGGTGAGGCACTGCATTCCATACAAGCTGATGGAAAGGGAATCAGAAAATAATCACTATGCCATGCACACACCCTGAACATAGCAGCTGCACAGTGCTGGGCCCATGGAGTGCCACAGGGCAAACTGCCTTAGTGTAATCCCGAATTAAGTCTTTAACCTCCCTGCCCTTCTCAATCTCCTTTGCTAGATCTAATATCTCTTTAAATGTTCCTAGGACAGCTGCTTTACTTCCTATCTAGCCACCTATAATTTGCCAATGCTAAACATGAAACTGCCAACACGACCTATGTTCATGGCTCAGGTATCAAAGCAATCCTGATTTTTCTCTCAGTGCAAGAAGGCTTAAGAGCCATCAGTTGAAGAGCAGACCAAGAAAAACGTTTATCCCAAAGAGGAACCAGAACCTGAGCATCTCCCTTCATTCATGATGCTGAAATCTGGCACATTTCCAAGACAATTCCATCCACCTCCAGGTTAAAAACACTCTGAGCTGGCTCCACGCTTTTAGTGGAAGACAAAAATATCCACAGCATGGACTGATAAACAAAGAAAGCTCCTAGAACACAGCTGCTGTGAATGTAATAGCATTAACAGTGCTTTCTGCATACACGATTTCTTATTTCAGGTAACAAACAGAAGGAATCTGATTACTTGAACAACAACAGAAAATAGCACCGCCGCCGCTTTTTGAAACTAGCAAGAAGATCTGCCTTACGTAAGGCTCCCATTTACACCCAGTAGGAGCACAGCACACGGATGAAAGAAGTGAAGCTTCCTTACAGACTTTGCTGCGGAGGTCCCAGAGCTTGAGGGTCCGGTCGTGGCTTCCTGAAACAATGCGCGCATTGTCCAGCAGGAACTTGGCAGACAGAACCTTACCGCTGTGACCCGTCAAAGTGTGCTGAGGAGAAGACACTCGCGTTGGCAAAGCGCACGGCTCCACCTGATTCCTTTCCTTATAGCTTGCTGCTTCTATTCAACAACTTCACAACGAATCTTAAAAGATCATTTGCACCTTTACTGCCTTGCTCCAATTTCCTTTTCTTTGTTTCCACCCCCATCTGCGACATTTAAACGGTGATCAACACTGTGTTGGAGTTTTCAGTACCACTGAGCTCAGCCTGAAGCCCTGACACATGGGTCACCTTTGGCTGCAGGGTCTCCAGCTACCAGGGAACCTGTGAGCTCTCCTACTGCAGCATGTCCACACTTCAGGGGTAGATGGCAGCTGCACCACAGCCTCGCAGGAGAAACCAGGAGAGGGAAAGCATGCTGAAAATGGTTTCTATAACAAGCTTCTCTCAAGGATACAGCAGGATATGCCTCACCTCAACTGCTGTTATACACTCAAGTCTGAAAGCTGAGACAACCAAAGGTTTCAGAAACACTCCCTACTGCAGATTCCATAACTGCTTTTGTTTTCATCCAGCACAGAGGAAAGCTCAGGGGGGCTGAGGAACATGAACTGCATTCACTTCCAATTGCTGACTATGAGGTTCCTTCCAACCCCTACAATTCTGTGATTCTGTGTGATTTACATGCCAAATCACAAAACAAACAGTGAGTGACTGAAGCAAGAACTGGGGGGGGGGAGAAAAAAGCCACAAGAGAAATGCCTGGTATACCAATTTTTTGGTTGTTGTTTTAAAAGCTCAGAGAGTATACTACAATTTCCTGCATTAGACCTGATTTCTGCACACTGACAACCACCCAGTGAATGAGCATGTTATACTTGACGTGTGAAATGCCAGGAGATTCAAAACCTAAACAGCATCTTCCTAAAACAAATTGATGAGAAGTGTCAACAGGAACAATAATAAACAAAACTTTACAGAGAGCTGATAAGAGGCTATTTTTTCCCCACAGGTAAATCCTTCCTTAAACCTGAGATAAACTGTTGGATAAGAACCTGAGTACAGAGGAAGAAGGGAGGGATCTTTTGAAAGGTAGAGAATAACTTCACAAATCCTTCAGTTTGCTGCCTTTAGCTGCAAGGTCTAAGATTCCTTTTCAAGAGTGTTACCTCTGACTTAAACCCAGAAAAAACCACAAACCAGCCCTCTGCTGCAAGCCCTTCTTCAGCTGTCCTCTCTTTAGATGGAGGCTGAAGCATTAAATTGATTCTTCAAGAACCATAAGAAACATTGAAGTTTCCACAGAGATGGATGCAAAGTTGTGTATTACAAACATGTGGCAACCGGAGTTTCCTGCGAGGCTGCGCAGAGACCAACGTTAGATTTTAGGTTTCGCTGCAGAGCCTCTTTAATCTAAGAGAAATAAACATCTGTTTAGTAAAAGGAATTGCTGAGTGTCTGTAAGTGCACAACAGCAAAGATCACACTGCCTCTATAAGACACAAAGGTGGAAATGCAGGACAAAGCTATCCCAAGCATCAGGAGACTCACCCGTAATCGATTGTCATCAACCGTCCAGATTCTGCTGGCAAAATCATTTGAAGCTGCTAAGAGGTAAGAACCCTGTAAACACAAGTTTAGTTTGAAACTATTTCTGCTAGTCAGTATGGAAATTAAGCTCATATCATTTCCAATTAGTGATTAGAGCTGTTTTAGTGCTATCACGCCAAGGGAAAACACAAGGATAAAATAACTAGAACCTGGTAGCATATAACAGCATGGAAAGCCAGTGTGACAGCCTTCAGAAAGGCCACGGCCTTTTCTTCTCAGCAAAAGGTGACAGCAATTGGTGCAACCATGACTAGAGATAAGAGGAATAACAGTGACCAGACAGCAAAGTACCTCCTTTCTTCCCCTTCTACCCACCATTACTGCAGCAAGGATCTGAACTCGTTTGCCCCCACCTTTTCCCACCTTTGTAGGTGAAAACCTACACTTTGCACATGAAGAAAGCCCTGCATCATCTACCTTAAGCATTCCTCAAAGTGGAATTGGCCCAATTCTTGAAGTTTTCGTTATACTTGTAATGCTACAAGATTCCAAGAGCTAAATGTGTTCAAGGACAGGTAGATGGGTTTGTTCATGACTGTAGGCTTAGTGCTTTTCCAAGTCATCCACAGCAGGGAGAGATCTATCCTTAAAGACCTGCTCAAAGACTTCTCTGAAGCTAAAGAAGAGTCCTTAAGGCCCACTGGCATCTCACCCCAGGCAGATGTCACCTCAAGCGTGTTCATCCTGACACAGATAACCTCACAACTAGTTTATCCTGCAGATTAACAACCCCTGCAAATCTCATCAGCTGGTTGACGTCCAAAGGGACGACAGCTTTGGGCGTGTGTCAGGAAACAGAACCAGCGGGTGGAAAAAGTACTTCAGCTTCAGTCTTACTCTGCAGCAAAACACTGGGTTATGGAGGAGGTCTCAGCAGAAAAGTCAGATCACACGTCCAGATACAACAAGCTGAAACCCCAACTCCTTTGAGCAGCTCTGTGGGATGCTGATCACAGTCATGTCTCCAGTACTCCAGGTTAACATGAACTGAACACATCACATGCTGTCAGCAAGCACTCCCACAGTCACACTACACTGCTGTGCCATGACTGGGGAGGAACTGCTGGGAGAAGAGGCCATAGAAGAGCGAGTCTCGGGACAATCAGACCTTTTACTATTCATCACAGACCTCAACAAAGCACTCGTGAAAATAAAAGCTTGGCAGAAATAAAGCCCCAGTGTATTTTCTTCCTTCGTGCTGCTGTGTCAGCTTTAGTGGGAAGCTGAAGATTAATGCCTCATATTAGACAAAGCCTGATGCATTTTAGTCTTCTTATAACAGCTCCGTACTGGCCAACGTCTGAGCTGCTTATAATCTGAACTGCAAAGTCAAGATGAGAATTACACCGACTGCAGCTTCCGTACTATTTTTCAACTATTTGCAGTTACTCTCCCAAGCATTCACTCCTATCTTAGGTAACTTCTCAAAGCATCAGAATGGAAAGTGGCAGCAGAGCATAACATACATCAATTAGCTTATTTCCAATTACAAACAGTGGATATTGCACAGATACTCACAGCACTATCAAACTCTATGCTTGTAATCCCAGCATTACTACCAGAGAGGGAACCTTTGGGCTCACACCTATCTGCACAGAGAAAGACGAACAAAACTTAAGCCATGGATTAGAACAGAAGCTGACACAAAGTGAACTATAATATGAGTTTCTTTCATACCCCACGTTATCCCAAAGCAAAAACATTTACCTCCCAAGACTTCCCAGAGCTTAACCCTGCGGTCCATGCCTCCTGTTGCCAGTAACCGGGAGCCAGGGCTGAACTGCACCGCGTTCACCTCCCCGTCATGTGCATCCTGGGGGAGCAGAAGAAACAGAACAGCTACCCAAACTGCACAGATCTGAAAGCACTGACTACAAAGCGACAGAGCTTCAAGGGTTACACCACAGCTGCAGCTTTTTCGGCAGTGCATAGGAGGCTGAATCCCTGCTGTGGCTGATTGTGTACAAACAGAGCAAAAAATGCTGATCCTTATCTAAAAAACCCAAAGGCACATGAAGGAGAACACCAGCAAGGACTCACCAGGGACAGTACACTACCAAGAACTTGTCAAAGCTTACACAGACTGAACTTACAAAGCAGAGGCTTTTAAGTTATACCAGAATAAAATAAGGAAAGGACAGAAAACATTAAGAGGTGACACACTGCAGAAGAAAATCAACCTTTTGTTTCTCTGTCTAGAGCCAGCAGAGGAACATAATCCAACCAGCTTATGCAACCACTAAACACACGAGTCAGGTTTGGCCTTGGAAAGCCTGCTTAAAAACAGCATAACAAATAAAGTGCGTTCACTTACAGTATCAGTGATAATGCTGCTTCATACTGGCAGTTAAGTACTAAAGGCACAGCTGCAGCTTGGAGCAGCCCTCCTCTCACTGAAAGCTTGGGTTTATGCCATAGTTCCTATCAGCAGGCCCAGCAACATCCCTGCTTTTGCTCAGAGTAATATTTGAAGGTTGAGCTGCCTGCTTACCTGTGATTCTTAACCTTTAGAAACCTATGAGGATTTTAGTATTAAGATCTCTCTTTTTCCCCTGTCAATTTAACAGACTTGCACTACTTGCCCATTATTTCCCACACTAAGGAGTATCACGTCCTTAACTCATTTGCTGCCTTCTTTTCCTCTCCCCTGCACCCCACCCAAGAATTTTCACTAAGTGCTCTTTTGAAATCAGTTTTAAGGAAGATGTTTTTCTCCTAGAACTTGCTGTTGGTCTGTCAGCTCATACTTAGAGGTCATCACACTTCAAGTCTGGTCTTCTTGGAAGTGCTGAAGAAATACTCTAAATGAAGCTAGCCAAAATCTTTGCCCAGCAGCTACATCCCACTGTGCTGGCTGACACAATAACCTTCTGCTCCCATCCCAGCTTTTTCTATTCAGCTCTACAAAGAGAGGCATGGATCGCTGTTTGGAGTAACAACCTCCCAGCATCTGCCAAACTTCTGGCACAGAGTCCTTGCATTTGTTTTAGGAATGCTCTGCACTGCTCCACTGAATCTAGACATGCGTGAGGCTCCACCATGGCTCCAAACACAGGAGCTGAAATGCAACACAGATCATCTCCAGAAGGCACATAAAAGCTCCCACGCAAGGAGGGAGTTCTTTCTTCCAGCACTGCACTGCCAACTAAGCAGCACCTCTCAGCCACTGTGATAGGCTTGCTACTGCAACTGTTCCTACTGCAGCAAGGTGGGAATTGGAACAGGAGAGCATTCCCTGTGTTTATACAATTAAGGGTCAGCATAACTTACTCTGGTTTGTCCCCTGTGTGGGGCTGACTGGCTATGCCACTCTAGGAAGTTCAGATGACATCAGAGGCAATTCATAGAAAGGTGAAACAGGTGGCTCTTGAGCATCTCAGTCATACATAGCTTTGCAATGTCCTACATATTTAAGCGTTAATCATAAGTAATTTTGTCAATCAACTGGACTTGCTGTATACAGCCAGAGGTGGAGGGAGGCTTTTACCACGTAGTGTAGCCACAAACACCTCCTGATAAGTGCCCTATTCTAGCCAGCTCCAGGCTGTCACTTAGGCTGTGATCTCATTCCCAGCTTCGGAAGCATAACTCCTCCTCCTCCACCCCATGGCCTCCATTAGAGACAGTAACAGGGCATGCCAGGAACACACAAGCCTCCACACCACACTAACTCTATACGACTCCTTGTGGATGAAAACAATCATTTTGTATCCACGGAGAAAGCACTTGATGGACTGAGTAAGTTCAAGAGAAGCATCCAAACAAACAATTGCTCTGTGAAACAATTTACCACAGTATCTTTCATCTCAGAAGGCAATGCCCAGCTCAGAAGTTTAAGTTCAGCCTTGTGAGGCCACAGCAACACATAAAGGAGGTCTCAGCTTGAAAACTTTAGATCACGCACAACCAATGAAGGCACACCACTGCCATGAGCTCCTCCCAACCAGCTCTGTTGGATGACGTTCGGCACCAAAACCCCCTTCACTGTGGGGAGCTGGCACTGAATTAATCCCAAACTGTCAGCAATCTCTTTCTCAGTCATAGCTCTACTATGGCATGACAGAACAAAGACTGCTGGGAGCCAAAAAGGTAATGGTGTGCAATTTCCCAGTGCCATCAGACCTTTTACTAAGTGTCATCATCGACCTCAGCAAAACAGACATCAAACACATGCAGAACAGAACCACACCTGGGAGCACACTGGCTTTGAAAAGCACTTGGGCTAAATTAAATAGGATGAACCACGCTGCCAAGAATTTCTTCTTGTTTGGCAAAGTTAATGGCAGTGGTTTCAAGAGACCAGGATCCAAGATGCAGACAGGATTCGCTGCCTCCAAAGATACTACAAAGGATGGTAAAAATGGTAATTCCTTCCATACTTACAAAGACACATATGGCAGTAGTGGGCACTCTCACTTCTTTACTGGCACCTGGATGTGGCTCTGCATTATCCTGGGGAGCAGGGAACGAGGACAAAGAACGCCTCCTGATATGAAACACAGTAAAAAGATTTAATAAACAGGAAGGAATGCTTCCTCCTAAGTCCACCCAGATTTGTACATGTCACTTAACTACACTGAATAGTGATTAAACAATAGGGTTTTTATTTTCTTTTATCCTGCCTTTCAAAAATGACATTTATTGCACAGTACTACATCCCTTATGGCTTTTAATATCTCACAGAATGCCAGATATTTTACCAGATGTGATTACTGACCTCATTTTGAAGCAGTCATCTTTTTCTATTAGGAAATAAACATGGCAGTGATTGCAGCTGAGTTTAGCAGGAAAGACTGCAACTCCATCATTGTGTCTAGGGAGACTAAGCACCACTGCAGCACTACATTCCAGGCAGCAAAACGCTCCATTCCAAAGCTCAAACAGCACCATTTAAGCAAAGACCATCCACCTCATGTAGGGCTCAACTTACAAAGGCTGGCTCTACTCTTGATACCAAGCACAAAGCCTAGAGGCTTACTTTAAAATAGCTCTAGTAAAGGAACTAAGCACAGTGGAAAGTAAGAGTAACACCCATGTATTCTCCCCACAAAGAGGAGTTCATGGTATCTCTAACAGCAGATAATTCCTATCCAGTAATATTGACAACTGACATCTAATCAGGATAATGCAACTTGGTTCCATGTTAACTCGGTGGAATACATTCACATGCTGGACTAAGAGGGATAATGTTTTCACCTGGCAGCATCGGAAGACTGATGTCCCAAAAGGGGAGATTCAGACAGACTGGAGGGAAAGGTCAGAGGTCAGCACACGGCAAGATGGAAGAAACAGGAAGTTGAGGAGAACAAAAGAAAAAAAAAAGGCAGAAGCTAGAAGAAAGGCTGAAAATATTTGTTTGTATTCCTTGCATCACCAAGATTTTTTGTATACATTGAAACCAATACAAAAAACAAAGAGGAGCAAGTGTTCTAACCTACCCAAAGATATTAGTGATAGAATCCAGAAGGCCTCCAGCTGGCTGGGAGAGTCGCTTACTGAAGGAGGGGAGGACAGGTATAAATCTTGTGAAGAGCTTCTCCAAATAAAGATCAACATAAATACAGTTCATAGCAGCAAGTATCTGGAAAGACTCCCTCCCCACAGACCCAGTCCCAAGGCAGAAAAGCCCAAAGGCAGGCAGCAGTACAAAAGTCACCAGAACTACAAATCAGAGCATCATTTGTGGGTGGTGTTTCTTCATTTTCACCTCAATGTCCACCCCATGAATTACTGGGTTTCAGACATAACAATTTACCAAGCCTGTAGTTCCAATAACGTGCTCTCGTCATTATCTCTTACTTTCCACTCACTGCTACTTTAGAGGGGAAAAAAATGCATTCAATCTAGGTGAAGAGATCTTCAGTATTTCAATAGAATTCCAAAGCCTAGATGCTTGTAAAACCATGTTGGTGTCTTCTATAAATACAGAGAACACAGCTGGCATTGCAGTACTTACCTTATAGTCTATTTTTGTTTTTAGATCTTATTTTTTATCATTATAGATATTTAATACCTATAATGAAAAACTAGTTTTGCTTGGTTAAAACAACAAAGGAAAAACATAGCCAGAACACAGTGATAGAGAACACAGTATGCAACCAGTTCCCTACTGCTCTGGTGCAAGCACAGAACTGCATTCCAGACAAAGAAGAGCGAAAACCAGAAGCAATATCTCAACACTGTTCCTTTAGTTGTTCTAAATCTATTATACCCCTTGTTCTTCCCCAGGAACATAGAAAGAAAGATGTCTCAGGCTACAAACCTGGGTGTTCGGCTGACAGCTCGCACTGGAGATGTCTCCTCAGCTGTGTCAGAGGTTTCATCTGCAAGCACTTCAATGTCATCATCCCTGCTGAAGTGAGAGAACAGAACACATCTCATTTTCAGCCAGCAGAGCCTTTGGGAGTGACCACCTCTGAAGTATTTGAACAGAAGGGTTGATACTGCTCGAGGATCCACCGGTGCCTGACCCCAACCCCACTCAGCCTCACTGAGCTGCAGTGTCACAAAGGCAGATGAAGGTAACACAAACACTATCTGGCTGCCCCTGCCAGAGACAATACTATCAACTGTAGGAAAACAATTATGTGCAATGTCAACACTTACATTTTCTCTTTTGAACTGCCAGTTATACTCTTCTGTGACAGTTTTTTTCCTCCACGTTGATGTTGACAGCACCCTTTCCAGATTTTCTTTACTACAACGTTACGTTTCAGCTTGCAGCCCAACACACACTGTAACAACCCACGAGGGTTTGAACTTTGTCTTTTCATGAATTTAATGAATTTTTTATACTGTTTGAACTTCAAGTGCTGCTCCAGTAAGCAGGAGGGATGTTTTGGGCCACTCTGTTATCTACATGCTAATGCGTAACTGAATGTAATGGTGAGGTTACAATATAAATGCCATAAAAATAATCCAGCTAAGATGTTCAGCACGTGCTGAGCAGTTATCATGGGCTCTGACAGTCCAGCAGTCCCCCTTCAAAGCACTGCTGATCTTGCAGGGCAAGCTGTTTTTAAACACAGCGCCAACCTGATGACACATGACTAATCAGGGTACTAAAACCCAGCATTTAACTACAAACTAGTGTCTGCCATCAGACAAGACTATTCAGCTGCAAAAGAGCCAAAGAGAATAGGCTTTGTTTTGACTCCTCAGCAGCTCAAAACAAAGGAAACGCTGAGACCACCATCACCATCACAACAGGAAGTAAAGTACTCAGGCTGTTGAGCCACAGCTACCTGTGCAATAGGAAGGTCTCACTTTGGGAAGTGGAATTAGCTTTGCAGGGAAAGCAGCCACAGGCACGTGCATTTCCTCTCTCCATACAACACTATTTACTGGAGAATGTAATGCTTAAGTTGTGCGTGTGTTTACATCAAATAATGTGTGGCACTGGCCATTGCTCTGGGACACAGAGGTTAGTGATAATTCAGAGGGACCCACAGCTCAACAAGCTAAGGGAATGGCTGCATTTAAACACTTCTGGAAAAGCTGCAAACCAAACTATGCTGTCTTAGCTGTATTGCTGATTACAGTTTCAAATCTCCCTCCAGTTACTGCAAGTTCTCTCATATTCCCTACATACACGCTCTTCCTACCTCAGATTTCTGCCTGGGCCCTCTTCCATTACCTCTATCATGTGCAAGGACTCGCAGCACAGAGCTCTAAGGTGACTCCAATATGCTGCAAAGGGAATCAAGAAACCTGCACAATGCTCTGGCACTGAGTTCTGCAGACTGTGTCAGTTGTAACCAATGGCAGTGCACTGAGTGTAGACTGGCTAGATTTGACTAACCTAAACGCTAATAACCTCATCAACCTGGCACAAAACACACATCACCATCTGCACACTTCAGTCAGCTGATGACAGACCATCCAGGAATAAGCAGTGAATGGCAGTGAATATCCACGTGCTGCTGGCTGATGCAAAGGACAAGAGACTCAAGATGATCGTTTCTGGCCTGCCAGGAGAAGTCAGTCCACATTTTTCTGGATTGTTTTCTGCAGCAGAAATTTACTCCAGTACAGAGGAACTCCTTAAATTAAGTGCTTACGGTTCAACAGGCAGGGGTTCTTTGGCAGCTTCTGCCAGCTCCTTTTGCAGCCTGGCTTGTCGCCTCCTAAGAAAAGAAAAACATGATTAAAGTAAAAACAACAACAACACGCAGCCTTCCTTAATCTTATTTCAAAGATGATCATGTGCAGGTCTGATGGATTTCGTAATACTAAAAACATCACACCACTGGCACTCTTACAGCACACCTTCAGCTCACCAGCTTCTTGTGGCCCACAGGAATGCAGATTTGCTCAGAGCAAACACTTGCAAGAACTTAAAAAGATGTTAAGAAAGATAATACAAAACCACCACATACTATGTGGTTTATCTTAAAGGCCTCAGCCTTCAAATATTGTCAGCTGAAAAGTAAACAGAGGCAACTCAGAAGAAAAATTATTTGTTCTTACACACAGTTTAGTCTCACAGCATCTTCTCCTGTCAGCAGGATGCAAAGAAACATTTAAATTGGTTGTATAAAAAAAGATAAAACTGTGTGTATTATCAGAATGCAAGTTGAACAAATCTTCAAATCTAGTACTAACAAAAGGAGTGTTATTTATGACTGTTAGGCCACGGTTCACTGTTGTTCAAGAATGAAAAAAGTGTCTTCACAAAGCATTCCCCTGTGTTGACCAGAGGAAGGAATGCAAACTTCTGGACTCCCTTTGCATTGTGCAAGAATTCACAGACCTCAAAGATGAAACTGAATTGGCTGTTGTTTTATTCTACACACACAGTTATCTCTGAACATACTGGGAAGCAGTTGATCAAACAGAGATCATCTCACCTCGAATCCTTTTCATTTTCTGCATTCAAGCGATTGGCTTCCTGTGCTTTCTCTGCCATCCAACGTGAGACCAGCTCCTGGTTATCTTCAGTTGTTTTCCTCAGTTTCTCCTCCAAGGCATTGAAGGTGATCTGGAGAGCATCATATTCATCTTTCAGTGTCTGATTAGCTCGCTCAAGATCCTGTAGCTTGCTGCGTAGTTCCTGGCACTCTGTTTCCAGTTCAGAGATTTTTTGCAAATACTCTGCAATCCTGGAAGGACAACAAAACATAAAGCAATGACAATCTTTTCTCAAGT